TTTTCAACTCCACCTGGTGACTGGGATCATCGAGGTCCTGGGCCGACATCTTGGGGGCCTGAGCCTCTAGGGGTCTTTCAAAACCATAGATCAAAATTAATAATCCTAGCAACAGAGACATGTATAAGAAAGGAGCAGGATCTCATAGCTGGTATTCAGTCTGAGAGTTAGTCTCTAGCCATGTTGAGGAGAGCATAGCAGTCTGAGTGAATCCAAGGAGCAGTGAAGTAGGGAGCAGTCTGAGGAATACCCCCCCACTTTTGTCTGAGCTGAGCTAGAGGTAAGAGCTAATGGCCAGCTACTTTGCTTCTCTGATCTTCAGCTTGAACCCCAATATCAGTCTATGGGTCTTTTATTTTTCATGTTTCTGAAATTGTATGTTTGGAGGTCAGAGGACAACTTACAATCAGTTCTTCCTTTCTACCCATGTGGGTTCCAGGGATAGAACTCAGATTGTCAGACTTGTCAGCAAGCACCTTTACTTGCTGAGCCCTCTCACCAGCCTTACTCTCCATTTTGTAAATGGTGAGAATGGAGACATCTACCAGCCACCATCACTGAGAATCAAGGGAAGATTCTCTAAAGGAAATGAGGGTTTAGAGATAGCAACCTGCCCACTGCCAAGGAAAATAAAACTACTTACAAAGATGCCAAATATGCCCCCCACTAATGCTAACTACACCCTTCTCCTTAAGAAGAGTCAATATCAGCTGGGTGGTGGTGACCTACACCTTAATCTCAGCACTCAGGATGCAGAGTCAGCCAGATCTCTATGGGTTGGAGGCCAGCCTGGTCTACAGAGTAAGTCCCAGTATATCCAGGACTACACAGAGTTACTGTCTTTAAAAAAGCAATAAATAAAAAAAGCAATAAATAAATAAATAAATAAATAAATAAATAAATAAATAAAGTTAATTGTTTGCAATGAATGCCTTCACAAAAGTTTAGGTAAAACAGGTACATAAAAAACTGGAGTTGCAAAGAAAAGAAAAACAAACATAAAACAAAAAAACTGGAGTTGCAACAAAGTACAGTTTAAAACGCACATGAAAATATTTGCCTAAGTGGGAAAATAATTGAATATAAAAGGCTTTGCCTCTTAAGACCATATTCTTCTTCCTCTCTATAACTTAACACAGATACTTCTCTTTTAATTCCACTATTCCAAAGATAGGTAACTCAAAAAAGAAGCCCCTTTGAGGGGCTGGAGAGAAGGCTCAGTACAGACTGTTCTTCTAGAAGACCTGGGTTCAAAATTCCCAGCATTTATATGGCAGCTCACAACTGTCAGTAACTCTAGTTCTAGGGGATCTGATACCTTCACCCCAGTGTACATAAAATAATGGTTAAATAAATTTAAAGAACAAAATTCCAAAAAAAAGAAAAAAAGAGAGGAAAGTTGTTTCTTGAAGAAGAAGAAGAAGAAAGAAGACTCCTTAAGAAAAGAAGAAGAAGAAGAAGAAGAAGAAGAAGAAGAAGAAGAAGAAGAAGAAGAAGAAGAAGAAGAAGAAGCTCCTTTGTACAGTTTGCATTTGAAACTGGCCTTGGTTGTGTACACTGCTATACCAGAACTGAGAGACTGATGTAAGAGGTTGAAATTTGAGGCCAGTCTGTGCAATGAAGTAACACTGCCTCAAAACAAAAAACCAACCAAACAAGCCAGGTGTTGGTGGTGCAGGCCTTTAATCCCAGCACTCGGGAGGCAGAGGCAGGTGGATCTCTGTGAGTTCGAGACCAGCCTGGTCTTCAAGAGCTAGTTCCAGGACAGCCTCCAAAGCCACAGAGAAACCCTGTCTCGAAGCCACCCCCCCAAAACAAACAAACAAACAAACAAAACACAAAACAAAACAAAACAAGAAAAACAGAACCCCAAACATCAATAACAGCAACAGCAAAAACAGTTCCTATATGAAGAATAGCTGAGAAAAGCAAAAGACTTAAGGGCTTCAGATTCAATTCACCTAGAAACTTTTATAGTTATTTTACAAAGTCATTAGTAATTCTTTTTTAAAAAAGCAATTCAGTAAGAGTCATAGAAATTCTTTTATCAAGTATGGCCTCAAGCTAGAATCATACGCTCTTCATATTAGTGAACACACTGACATAAGTGGATATTGGTTTGCTCACAGCAGCAAGAGAAATAACATACAATTAGACTATAGCCCAGGTTTTTACCGTAAATGCTTGTACATCTGCACTGGCATAAGTGGAGATGGCATAAGTGGAGTCTGTTCTGTTCTTCCACCATTACACAGCATCTGCGATTGAACTTGGATCAACAGACTTGCTTATACTGAAGCACTTTTACCCACGGATACATCCCATCGGCCCATAAATGAATCATTGAATCAGTCAGTTAGGAGGAAGTGAGAGACCAGCCTTTGATACCGAGGATTTTGTCATTAAAAACAATGACAGTCAGAGAAAATCGACTGGCCAGTCAGGCCCTGACAAGCATCATGGGGTCCTGAGTAGAATCTGAGAGCAGAAATGAGAGTATGTGTGAACACCAAGGAAACTAAATCAAGTTTAGACTGTAAGGACTGTCAACAATTTCAATGTTCCCGTGTGAGTGTGTAATGTTAGTAACACGGGGCCTGTGAGATCACTCTGCAGTGCTCATTGATCTCTGTGAATCAAATTTTCTTAACATAAACCTTAATTAGAAGTCAATAATAACCTGAAGCATTATTGTAATATCCCTACTTTTTCCCAAAGATTACTGAACTACTATTATCCTAGTTAACAGCAGTATCTGGAATATTAACTGGCTGTTATCCCAGTTAACAGCCATAGCACCGTGATAGACCTTCAAGACTTTTTCAATGGGGCTTGATAAATCCCCACAGGAAGCGTATGATAGTGAGCTATATTAACACATTGCATGGGCATTATTTTGGGGATTAAGACAATATTAATAAAAACACTAAAAAAAACCCAAAACAAAACAAAACAAAAACCTCACAAATTAAAAGTCAGCCCTACAGCATGGATTATTTTCCAGCTACAAATATCATCATTAATTAAGAAACACTTAAGGAACTGAGCATTATGGCATGTAACTAATCACAGAACATGGGACACAACAGCAGAAGGGTTGGAACTTCAAAGGTATTCTGGCTACACAGCAAATTCAAGACCAAACTGGGCTACTTCTCCTCTATCTCTGTTTGGATTTCCCGACTAGCTACATTCTGCTCTGCCATAGGCCAAAGCAGCTTTTTTTGTTAACCAATGGTTATAAAACATATTCACAGCATACAGAGGGGCATCCCACATCACCTCCCCTTTTCTGTCTAATTACAAAGGAAGGTTTGAACTTTAACATAATAAAATTACATATAACAAAATAGTTATCAAGCTAGAATTATAGTTACATTGTGTAGTCTACTTATATTTGACAAAATTAAAGAAAACATCATCTATTCTATCTTTGTTAGTTAGTCTAAAGTTTCATATCAAATTTATCTTTTATCATAACTAAGAAAAAATATCATTCCAACTATCCAGTCTTCAACTCCAGGACTGCAGGTGCCCACTGCTGGGTGGTGCCTGCATGATGTACAAAACCATTAGGAAACCAGACCCCAGTCTTCTCTTCCTCAGTCAACCAGTCATAGGAGACACCCTATGAGGTTATCAGCATATGCTTGGCAGCAGAAGGCATTGTAGCAGGAGTAGAAAACATATGCATTTGGGCAACTTGTTTGTGTACCTTGATTGTGCCCTCAGGATCCTGCTGGGTCTGATCTCTTATATAGCACTTCCATTTGATAACACATTGCTGCTGAGCATGTCCTACTTTATGTCTTGGTGGGTCTGATAACATCCAGCTCATGATGGACAGTTCCGGTTGCATAGTAAGGCCCATTGTCAAATGTTCAGTTTCTCCCAGTGGCTGGGATTAATGGCATGTGCTCACTTGCTTGGTCATATTTATTTTTGAAAATGATTCATGGGCACCAGTGACAGATTCTTGAAATGGCTTAAGAGTTATTGTCTTATCCCAATTCTCCAATGCTACTTTTCTTGTATGTTATTCAGTTTTCCTTTTTTCCTGTGTGTGTGTGTGTGTGTGTGTGTGTGTGTGTGTGTGTGTGTGTGTGTGTAGACTATGTAGCTCAGGCTTTAAAACTCACTGTGATCTTCCTGCTTCTGTGTCCAGATTGCTGCTAGTAAAAGAATGCATAACCACACACAGTTTGAAAATAATAGTATTTATGGTCTAAGTCTCCTCTTATAGTGGACAGGGAGACCAGGAGATGATGTCAGAGCCACTGGCAGTGGAGTTACAGGTAGTAGTGAGCTGGATGTGCTGAAAGAATCTTCAGTGCTCTTAACTGCTAAGGCATTTTCCACCCTAAGTTTTCTTTTCTTGATTATGTTTCCTTTTGAAGGCAGCTTATACAGAGCCAGACACCTGATGCTGATTAAAAAGTGGAATTCTCATCCATTTGAAAAATTAGTCTCAGGCATGGATGATCTCCCTAATTGCTTATTCAATAAAATGTGGTCAACCAAATATATATTCATTTGCCAGCAATTTGCTCTGAATTTCAGCCTTCTGGTGGGAGAAAGACCTATCATCTCCTTTGTGATCCGGTTCCTGCATTTCCTTCTTGGTTGTCTGAAGTCCCTGTGGCAACCAGCTAAAAAGTACTTTCAGTTTACCTGACCTCAGCGTGAAGCCACAGAACAAACATCTCCTTGAAGCTCACTTTAATTGTTAATATTTTGGGCATCTTTCCACTGCACCAGCATGTCCAGGAGCAAGAAAGTAAAGTGCCTACTGACTGCAGGAAGGTAGCCGGGTTTGCCAGTGGAGCCAGAGGTAAGCGTTATTGAAATGCATATTTAGAAAAGGCCTTTGGGGTGGAAGGCAGGGCCAGGAACCACGGTGGCTCTTGTCACTCAGGCCTCACTAGCCAACCATGTCCTCCAGCTCATCTGTCAGTCAGAAACGGTGCAGGTCTCTTCCTGTCGCCGGCTTCCGGGTTGACTTTGAAGAGGAGATAGCGCCTGTGTTTTGTGTGCTGTGCTGCGATTGGTGCTGCCGCGAGCTCGGCATAGATCATGGACGGTCTGGAAAACCGCATGGTGAGCGAGGGACGGCTTTTCCCAGATGGAGAGCAGCCAGTTGCTGGAGCCAGCGTGGTGGATCCTCTCCGGATCTGGGTGGGAACTTGCAGCCAGATTCCCTGTCTTGTGAAGTCCCATGCGGTCCGTGCAACTCCCTGGACCCAGGTGCAGGCTTCTGAATAACTTCCCTTGTCGGCTGAATCTGCTCAGAGCCTTGGGAACAGGGAGCTGTGTGTAGAAACAGCTTTCTAGTCAACTTCAACATGCTTTTGGCGAATCCATGGAAAGCAAATTGCCAAACTGGGAGAGACCTAGTTTTCTAGAGGTTCAGCACTTTGCATTTAAGATCTATGTCTAGTTAATTTTGTGGAGGTTGGAAAAGGCATCTCATGTGTAGGGTGGGTAGCACTCCACGCCACAGCTGTGACGTAGAGGAGTAGAATGGGTGGTTTAAAGGATTTACCAGCGCATAGGCAACAGTAAGTCTCATAAAATAGAACTAAGTTGAGGGCGGACTGCCTCTAGAGCTCTCAAAAGTTAAGTGTGTGCTAACCTGGCTTTTTAGAGATAAGGATGCCAGGATACACATTTGTTCACCAGGATTATCCGGACATATGGCTCCAAACCATTTCAAAGATGCGGCCCCTGATGTACAACCAGCTACTAGGCCCATCCTCATATTAAAGAATGGCCTCTAACAAGCAGCTCAAAGAGGGTTCACAACCAGTATTAAGTCCTGGTGTGCTGTAAAGGTCCAGTTTTCTTTTTGAGAAAAGCATAGTTCTCCCAGATGGGCAGTATGACACCAAGTGACATGCATTTGAAATGTAAAGCACTGCTGTGTTAAGGACGTCCTGATCAAGAGAGGCTTGCGTTTAGGCCTCCATGCAAGGAGAAGGAACATTCTTGGGAGAGAGAATAACAGTCTGGAGCCTAGGCATTGGGAGATTTCCCTGAGGGCCTGGTGTACTGAGAATAAAACAGAGCTCCTTCTCTAAAACCAGGAATATGCTTGAGAGAGCTGGCAGTGGTCTGGGGCCAGTGCCTTTGTGGATGTGTTGCTTCAGATCCCCAGATCACTGCCAGCTCTCTCAAGCATATTCCTGGTTTTAGAGAAGGAGCTCTGTTTTATTCTCAGTACACCAGGCCCTTAGGGAAATCTCCCAATGCCTAGGCTCCAGGCTGTTTTTCCTTGGGAAGGCATATTAATCCAGAACAGCTCCATTTTCCTGCCTTTTAGAAAAACATTTCT